TATTGTAGTATGATATGTTTGATATGTGCATCATTTTCAAATGAGCATAAACCAGTACCAAATGAGCATATCTAATTTACAAAATGAGTTTCAAAAAAATCAAAACTTCATTTGTGTATGCTCATTGATTTTGGGCGTTATATTTAATATATGCATCATTTTAAAATGAGCATATAGTAATACCAAATGAGCATACATAATTTACAAAATGAGTATCAAAAAATTTAAAAGCTCATTTGTGTATGCTCATTAATTTTGGGCGTTATATTTGATATGTGCATCATTTTAAAATGAGCATAAAGCAGTACCAAATGAACATACATAATTTACAAAATGAGTATCAAAAAATTCAAAATCTCATTTTGTGTATGCTCATTGATTTTGGCGTTATACTCATTTAAGTTTAACATAAAACTCATTTTTAATGTGTTTAATATTTAGTTGTGTATGTTCATTTCTTTGAGGCATATACTCATCTGAGTTTAATATAAAACTCATTTTTAATGTGTCTAATATTCAGTTGTGTATGTTCATTTTTTTAATGTGTATACTCATTTGAGTTTTTTATAAAACTCATTTAAGATCAATAGTAGTAGGGACTTCCTTTTTCTGCAGTAGGATCCCTTTGTCTTCCAAAATCACAATCACAATCTCAATCACCAAAATTGAATAAGAAAAAGAGAAAAAAGAAAAGAGTGAAAAGAAAGACAGAGGAAATCTGTTGTGCCCATTCTAGGAGATCAGCTGTGAGAGGCAACTACCTAGGAGAGAAAGAGACAAGTGGTGCGAAGCAGATGGAAGAACCAGACAACATCTGAGACTGGTGCGAAGCTGGGTGTGAAGTCGAGGAAGAAGGCCGAGCGAGATCGATCGAGGAAGAAGGCTGAGCGAGATCGATCGAAGAGCAGAGCAAGATCGAGGAAGAAGCCCAGAGCCAAAAAGGGCCGGCTGTACCATGCGCACGGTACAGCCGGCTGTACCATGTAATTTACCGATCTAACGTCATAAGTGTGCAGACTCATCCTATGCCAAGACCATTTGAAGTGGTGTGAGAGTCAAAGTAAAAAAATGGACTCCGTCCATTTGAAAATAATGTTTTGATTCATATTTCTCTGCATTCCAGCATCGTTAATAAAATACACTCTACACATTCTTTTACATATCAATTTAATAAAACATTAATTAAATAATTATAACTAATTTTTTCCTTTTAATTTTTTATCTGATTAATTATAAAATAAAAATGACACATTTTGATGTAAAAAAATCATTAATATTTTTTAATACGTTTTTCTATGAAGTGAGTTCAAACATATTGGAGCATTTATATAGGATTTTCGGAAAAAATATTAATTTAAAAACATAGAAAAATAAAATATTTATTTTAACCATTGGATTTCAATTTCAGCCGTTGGATCTATTTTTTCCTGGTTCAAACAGTGTCCAAATCGTCGCAGCCGTTGGATGAATTGGATCTACCAATTCTTTAAAAGGGTGTTGTGTGACATCGGCACGACATCAGCATGACATCAGCTTGGGAAAATAATTCCCCAAGCACCAAAGGCCACCCGATCTCTTTCCCTCTGCGCACAGCAGGCTGGCCGCCCCATTCCCCCTTTATTTTTTCTCTTCCATTTAATTTTTGGTTGTCTAAATTTCTCCAAATTTAACATCATCCCTCCCCAAACCCATTTTTAATACCCTCTTCAACCAACCAATGCAAGAAATTAGGAGTCCAAAAATGACAATTTTAAGATTTTGGACTCCTAATACCTCACCACTCCAATTAGCATAATGCCACAATATCATAGACCATTGCTTATCTAAAAAAAAGACTTCAGTGCTTTGAATCTAAACGTGCACAACCACGGATTGGGATCCTCTGCCGCACGGCAGAGTGCCTTGCGCGCAGAGGACCGTCGGATGGGGAAGAGCGGCCTCGGGATCTGCGCTTCAACATCTCCGACCGTCCATCTTTTGATCGGATGGTTCCCGAGAGCCGGGCACCGTGCCTTATTTTGTAAAAAATGATTTAAAATATTCTTTCAATGATAAACAAATCATACGGAGTTTATTAAAAAGGATAGTGGTGGGCTGAAATCATCCTACATATAATTGCACTACTTTGAGATCCGCTCATTTTCCCGCTCATTTCCCAATACAACCGAAGTTTCAAGAGCGGAAGCCTCGGGCGGATTAATAGAAGCCTTGGGATTAAATTTCAATTTCAATCTATGTATGATTCTCATCTCCGCTCTTCCATTTCAGATTATATCTAGGGCTCCAGGTTGTTTGTTTGAACCATTCTTTTTCTTCCCACTCAACACTTCATAGAGATTCATCACTATTTTGTCAAGTCCATTCCATTTTCGTTTCTTTTTATCTCACAACATCCATTAGCCCTTTCTTGCATCTGTAATCCAAAGGATGGTAATTTATACTCTTCTCTCTATTTCAGTTTTAAATTTAGCTTTTTATTTGTGCATTTTCATTTAATCTGCCTTGTGCACAGCTTATTACATTCATTTTGATAGATTTGCAGTCTAGAAAAACCCGTCTTATGCCATGAAAAACCTGTTTAAAACAATCAACCATCTGCCATCTGCATTTTTTCAATTTTACATATAGGATATTTTAAAAATAAATAAAAGGTGTTGATGTTTTTATAAATTACATATTATGTTTCTCTTTCACTTTTAATAATATCTCAGATACATATCAAGGCTTAGACCAATCCTACCCTCGGGAATCCGCCACCCATATTGACCCGTAGGTTCCTAACATGAACCTTAGCCTGGCAGGAAATCAGAATTAACATGTGGTATATGTTATAACACCTTCAGCTCTTTGGGGAGATTGCTTAAGTAATGTTTTTGCTAAAATCATTGAAACATGAACCCGTGTGTTCAGTTTTTTGTATGCTCAGAGTGGTGTATATTGCTCAGAATGTTCAAAGCACCCGATTTCTCTGTATCCCGTATTCCCATGGATTGCTAATTTTCTAACTAATCTGGGCCAAAGGATGAGACATAGAAGTCCCAAAGTGATGGTGAATTTAAGGGTGTTCTAGATTGACTTAAATTTTCAAAAAATAACTAAGAATTAGAAAAAGGGGTTAATTTCACGTGTGGCATGAAAAATAGTGACATATAATACAGACTATAAAACTTTATTGCTCTACACTTCGTTTTCAAGAACACACACACACACACATATATATATAACCCATGAAATTATAAAAAAAAACAATGACATGTTATTGTCATTGTCTAATCTTACCCTTGATGAAAGATTTCTCTATATTGTAACTGACATGTGGAGGATGAACATATTAAATTTAGCCCTTTCTTGCATCTGTAATCCAAAGGATGGTAATTTATACTCTTCTCTCTATTTCAGTTTTAAATTTAGCTTTTTATTTGTGCATTTTCATTTAATCTGCCTTGTGCACAGCTTATTACATTCATTTTGATAGATTTGCAGTCTAGAAAAACCCGTCTTATGCCATGAAAAACCTGTTTAAAACGATCAACCATCTGCCATCTGCTTATTTTCAATTTTACATATAGGATATTTTAAAAATAAATAAAAGGTGTTGATGTTTTTATAAATTACATATTATGTTTCTCTTTCACTTTTAATAATATCTCAGATATATATCAAGGCTTAGACCAATCCTACCCTCGGGAATCCGCCACCCATATTGACCCGTAGGTTCCTAACATGAACCTTAGCCTGGCAGGAAATCAGAATTAACATGTGGTATATGTTATAACACCTTCAGCTCTTTGGGGAGATTGCTTAAGTATTGTTTTTGCTAAAATCATTGAAACATGAACCCGTGTGTTCAGTTTTTTGTATGCTCAGAGTGGTGTATATTGCTCAGAATGTTCAAAGCACCCGATTTCTCTATATCCCGTGGTTTGCTAATTTTCTAACTAATCTGGGCCAAAGGATGAGACATAGAAGTCTCAAAGTGATGGTGAATTTAAGGGTGTTCTAGATTGACTTAAATTTTCAAAAAACAACTAAGATTTAGAAAAAGGGGTTAATTTCACGTGTGGCATGAAAAAAAGTGACATATAATACAGACTATAAAACTTTATTGCTCTACACTTCGTTTTCAAGAACAAACACACATATATATATAACCCATGAAATTATAATAAAAACAATGACATGTTATTGTCATTGTCTAATCTTACCCTTGATGAAAGATTTCTCTATATTGTAACTGTCATGTGGAGGATGAACATATTAGGTGTCTGATGCATATGTGCCTCTTTCTTTATTAAAGCTCTAGCCTCTTTTTTTTCTTTATTAAAGCTCTAGCCTCCCTCATGTAACACGGATATACTCCGAGAATAAAAAGACTTTGAAGTTTGAACTCATTCAAACAAGTTCCCCCCTTCACCTTTTATTCTTTCAAATTCTCTAATGTTTTCCTCCCTTTTTTCCTTTTCATTATTTGAGTTCCAGTCACTTTCGATTATTTCCTAAAGCTCCAAATGAAATGATAATTAATGGCTATATGATAATACAAGCAGTTGCAATTTGTCTTTTATATTTTTTCCAAATATAATTGGCTGTGTTAACTAAAGTTTTAAGTAGTTGTTAATGTACATGGTTGAAAGAGTACGATGTAGATTTGGCATGAAAGAGCAATTCTGATTCGCTGAGACTGCAGTAGTTGGAATAATCAATGTTCTGTCACTACTGACTTGGACCATTACCTTCACACTGCAAATATCTTGATAGTTCCTCTTCTTGCTATTTCACTTAACGAGGAAAGTATAAGCTATATGTCTCAATGCTCTTCTTATTCTTTCTGTGTGTTTAGTTTTTTTGTATGCTTAGAATGGTTTTATATTGCTCAGAATGCTCAAAGCACCTTATATTAATCTGGGCCAAAGTTGCTTCACCCCTGCTGTCTACTTTACATTTCTCGACTATCTCCACCGATTCTCCCTTCACATTTTTTTGCAGGAGCTTCATTGCCTAATTAGTTAATGAAAAAATGGATGAGATGTCACACTACAGACGATTCAAAAGATCCAAGGTTTGCATTAAAAGATTATCATTTGATGGTCAAAGTTGCTCTTTCTTTCTATGTAATTTGTTTCCTCTTCTTCTTCATCATATATTCATCTTCTTCGATGGACACGAATCATTTGATTCTCCCTTCACATTTTTCTGATTTTCATTTAAGCTTCACTGTATCTTTGCATGATTGTCCGGTTTAAAATTAGCCCACCTTTTTTAACAATGAAATTTAAAAAATCTAACTGACAACTTCAAACATTTGTCTTCCCCTTTTTATGAATTAGGTTCAAAACCATGTTAATTTTCAAGACACCAAAACTAAATGCTCTGTTTCTGTGTTTAGATTTTTTTTTCAATTATGCCATTATTTAAGCAATTATACTTTAGTTAGTATTAGAGTCTTACACAGTTGTTCTTACTATGTTGTTGAAATCAACATTTATTGGACATGATATATGAGCTTTTTGAGTTGTGCTCACTATGTTCACATTCATTCTTCAAAATCAGTTATTTTAGGTGAAGTACAAGAACAATAATAGACTATAAAAGTAGGCACACACCTTAATTGAAACTCTTGCACTTTCGAGCAATACCCACAAATACTTTTGTAAAAGACTATTGAAACTGAAATAGACCAAATCAACCAAAGTTCGAAAACACAAAGTCTTGGATATACGAACAGCAAGCCCACCTTTTTTTTGAAGAATGTAGTTAAAACAATCTAACTAATAGCATCAAAGATTCTTTTAGTAGGATTTGGTCAATTCGTAAAAGGTTTTGGGCATTCAATTCATTTAGATTCTTCTTTAAGATCATGATCAGAATTTTTTGCCGCAAGAGAAATTGATGTGTGTTAGTGTTGACATTGCTATCCTTATGAAATCCAGCCATATAAATGGCATATTTGCCATTCAGATTGCTCTTTTTATAGATTATGTATTTTCCCTATTAATTGAAGCTTCTTCCAAGTTTTTTATTTGTTTCCAATTGAAAACGATAGCACTTACCATTCCATCTCAGAGCTCTGAAAAGAAAATGGTAGATGGAGGCTTGCATTTAAAGCATCACTTAGATGATATTTTAACATTTTAGTGATATATCTCTACTATTGGTTTAACTGCTAGCATGAAGAATTCAGTTGCATTTGTCTTTTCATTATATATTCTTTTTATGTAAAGCTTTGATCATCTTTTATCAAACATATTCTAATTCTCTCATTTTCAATTTGAAACATTTTATTTTCAAATAATTATATATATATATATATATATATATATATATATATATATATATATATATATATATATATATATATATATACACATGGTGAAATTCACACCAATAATATGTACTTCTACCGGTTACACAATAATAATCCGCACCGACAAAATTTATACAAATACTCCGAACTCTTAAACATGTTCACGTAAATAGATGGAATCCAACGGGACTAATGGTTCCGTTTTATATTAATCCCTACCGCTACTAGCCGGTCTCCCTGTTCTTCCTTTTCTTCTTTATCTGCTGTCTTCTTCTCCATCTTCTCTTTGTCGCATAATTTTGGTTTCATTTTGTAATCATATTCACCTCATCACACGATCTTCTCACCAATCGATCTCTACCCTAAATTTTTCATGCTCATAAAGGTTTACCCGAATTTACTTGTTTCATCCATGAAAACCTAAGTCCGAATTTTGCTCTTCAAAATGACCTATTGTAATTCTAACGAAGCCCAATCAACGGTTACTCCATCATAAAAAAGGATATCAAAGGTACTTGTGAAATGCGACCATGGCATGGTTTCAGCTTTGAAGACAGTGACATTTGGGCCAAACAAGGGAAAGAAATTCTATGGCAGGTATAATTAAGACCAAATTATGAATAAATGCTTTTCTTTTGTATTAGATTTTGACATAGGTGTTATGTTTTTTGTAATTTGCAGAGTGACAATTGTAATTTCTTTTTGTGGGAGCATGATTCAAAGAAGATGGAGAGTAGGGTGTCAATGGATGCAGAAAAGCAGTCAGTTTTGGATGAGAATGAAAAGCTTAGAAAAGAGCTGGAAGCAATGAAAATTGAGAACAAAATTTTGTTGGAAAAAATATGTAAGCTCAGAGTGAAAAAAATTGTTAGAGGCTGATAGAAGGAAAGTGAATCCAGGGAAAAAGGCTATGTGTGGTGTTGTTTTATCTTGGGTTGTCATTGCTATTGTGGTATCCATTTTAGTTGGTAGGATGTAAGAATGATAACAGTGTTGTGTGCTTTGTGATTGTACAATCCATTTAGGCCAATTTGGTCTGTTTTTGTAATAAGTTTGGGATATATGTTGTGCTATTTTGTTTGATATGGTAATGTTTATATACCTTCAACATTGATTATCAATTTATTAAGAGACTGCAGTTTAGATTTAATGGGAACATGAAATATTTTAAAATTGCAGCTAGTTTGTTTGTAATGATGGCAATTTGCTACACATGATATACACATATGACATATCTATTGCACTTAGAAATAGTAAATTATGCACCAGTTGGGTTTTCTGTTTCCACTCAAAATAGTAAAATGTCATTGGGAAAAAATCTGAAAAACGTCTCTGGATCATCATAAACAACTACAAAGAATGTTGATTAACAAAAATGAGCATGTTTTAGAAATATTTTCCACTCAAATTTGATTTATCTATTATGAGTTTCTCACAACTTTGACATCTTAATTCATGCTATATCGAATAGATATTAAGATATGAACTCACATTTTAAAAACTGATAAGAATTTATTTATAAAGTTGGTTTCACAACCAAAATTAAGAAATACTAACAAATGTATTACTGTGTATCCTAAAAAGTTCATGTTTTAATAAAACTAAACTAAAATGAATGAAGTGGTGGAATCTAGTAAATTAAAGATGCCAAAGTTCTGGGTGAAAGAAGTGAATAATGCCAAACCATATGTGATATGTGCAGATTCGAATTCAAAGGGCTGGGGAAAGATGGCTAGCTAGCTAGTCTTTTTTGGTTGCTTCCATTTCAATGGCTTTGCTGTCAGCCCAAAGTTTAAAGTGGCTTTAAGTATTATCCACCAAAGAGAGACATCACTTCCAGTATTCTATAGCTTTATAATATAAGCAGTGGTGAGGTTCCTTTAACATATTATGAAGGTAATAGCAATTACTCTTGTAAGTTTCATCTAGACATGCATCATTAAAGCTTCTCATGGCAAATTAAAGAACTTTTCCACAACTAGGATAGAAACTGAAGTATAAGACATGTTCAAGTGACTGCTTATAAGTTGTATTCACTGAAGTCTTGAAGAGACTGATAGTGTGAAAAAAGTTGGAACCATGAACTAGTATTGGCATGCTGGGGTTGTTAGATTCCATCCAATAATAACAACAATAAAAACTGCAATCCATCCCAAAATATATAAACATCATCCAAGAATTCATTCATACAATAACATACTAACATCCATTCAGGGCTCATCTAACCAAAATATAGTTAGAAATGGTCAATATCTGCAAAACCAGCAATTTTCTAACCAAAGTATACCATAAACGACTAATACATGATCCATGTAATTAAAAACTGTCATGGGAATCAACACTGCCTTCATGTTTGAGTTGCGCCCGTAGAAGCGTTAATGCTTTCATTTTGTCTTGACAGAGATGATTGAGTCTTAGGGAAGGACACTTCAGATACATTCATAGGATTAGTCATTGTCTGCAAAATCAAAGTATAGCCAAAAAAAATACGAATAAGAGTTGCTACAAAAAGTCATATAAATGATTACCACAAAAGTATTAAAAAACATTAGTACACATACATTGATATACTGATTACCATCTGCAGAGTTATAGTAAACGCCAAATCCAGCTGCAATCTGCATATTTTCAGTTTTAGGATTAAATAAATTTTAAAATGATTTAAATAAATTAAATAGCTAACATATGTTCCCCCTCTCACTTTGTTTCTGCCTTCAACTGCTTGTATTCCTCTTCCCCTTCTTTGCCTATTCCCACCCCTACCTCTATCAGAAGGTTGGGCCACAACTGAATGGTGATTTGTATTTGAAACTTGATCATCAATATTTATCTTTCTTGGCCTCCCTCTAGGCCTCTTAGTAATGGCTTGTGAGATTTCTTGAGGGTTGCTCTTGCACTTGCTTTTTGTGTGCCCTTTTTCCTTACAATTACTGCAATGCATCTCTCTACCATGCCTACTTAGCTTCCCAGCTTTTTTAGGATCCTCATAAGGATCTCTTTTTCTTTTTTCTGTGGTCTGCCAGGGCCTTTTTTAATTGGAGGGGGGTGAACCAAAATTTCAGAAGATGGCCAATACTTTTCACCCTCTAAAGCAGCTATCTTCCCACTATAACTCTTCAAGTAGGTTGTTCTCTTGTAGAAAGGATGCAAAAAGTCTTCTGCTTTCTTTCTCAAAAAAGTATTGCATGACAACATGGGATGCCGGTGAGATCCCATTTTCTACATGTGCATGTTTGGTTTTCCAAATCCACAACCAACTCATCTAGAACATGTCTTACTTGGAATTGTGTCATTGTCGAAGGGGTTGGATAACAATTAATGCTTTCATCTTTTGACCTTTCCAGTTTCGCAGCAATCCTAGGACAAATTTCATGATCATTTGCTTCCATCCATTGCCTTTTCACCACTAACCTTTCCATTAAAGCAGTCTGTATATCCTCTAACATGTAGATAATATGTTTAGATCTTGTTTCGATAATGTAACCATTGAAAGTTTCTGCCATGTGTTGGTCACAATGACATCACATTTCGTGTGTGTGTTTAGAAAAGCCCTACAAAATGATTTAGGATTTTGAGCTACAAAAGCTTCTGCAGCTGATTTGGATATCTTTCCTAGCTTTTCTAAAGCCTCACTATATCCAACTTCATTATATGATCTCGCAGCTTCCCAAAAGTAACCTTTTATCTCATCACCTTTAAATTTAGAGTGCCAGTTCTTAAATATATGCCTTGCACAATTTCTATGCTCAGCCAAAGGGAGTACTTTTGACACAACATTTACGAGACCCTGCAAAATGTATATTACATTTATCTACTTCATCATAAGTTCACACATGAGATTATTTACAAGATAAATTTAAATGAAACAAACCTTTTGTTGGTCAGATATTAATATCCAGCCTTCTCCATTTGTTGTCTCCAAACAAAATTGTAACTTTGATAAAAACCATTCCCAAGAGTTGTTGTTTTCACCCTCCACGGCAGCCCAAGCTAAGGGAAACATTTGATTATTCCCATCTCTCCCAACAACAACTAGCAGCTTTCCACCCAAAAAAGTCTTTAAAAAGAAGCCATCTAAACAAACTACCCTTCTACAACTACTTAGAAGACCACATTTCAACCCATCAAAACATACAAACAGTCGCTGAAATTTCTGATGGGGATGGGGATAGGGGGAGCGATTTCTGATGACCTTAGGATCTGTGAATAAGTCAAAGAATGAATTAGGATTTTCCTTCCTCAAAGCCATTAAATAGCTACCAACCTTAGCATAATGGTCCTTCATTGAACCATGTAACATTTTGTTAGCCTCATACTTTATTTTGTAAGCTAACGTTCTCTTGATAACCACTTTCCACTTCATCTTAACAGCATCAACAATTTGCTTCCCGGGCTAGTGGGGTGTAGCTTTAAAGACTTCCAATAAATTTTTGGCCATCCACTTGGACTTCAGTTGTCTGTTCCTGCTCATGTCTCTAAAACAGTTATGCTTATTGTTCACAGATTTCACAACAAAACAATCCCGTTTATAGTCCCAAGAACCATAGACAGAAAACTTGCAGCCTGGTGCACATTTCACGCCTAATCTTTGGCTCCTGTTTTGATCACCAACATTGTAAGTCAAATTTCTTCCTTGAGCAACTGCATACCTAGTAATAGCTTCTCTAAACTTCTCTGCGTTACCAAACCTTATCCCTGCACACCATTGTAATTTGCTGAAATCAGTAGACTCGTTCACAATTGGTGCCCTACCCTTTTTCTTCTGCCCTAAAATATCATCTTCTTCACTATCTCCTGGGGAATCTACTTCACCGTCACTATCTTCATACTCTAAAACACATCCACCAACTTCTTTATCTAATATCAACAATTGTTCTTGTTCTCCAGCAGATGTGCCCTCTTCCATTTGAACAATAGCTTGTTTGACTTCTTCAGTTGTTTTCATATTCCATTTCTCCACTCTATCTCTAGCTTTAGTCCATTCTTCATCACTCGTATCACTTTTTCCTCCATCCAGTGCTTCTAAATATGGATGCTCAGGTTCTTCAAAGCCGTCATCCCATCTATAGTTTTGTTCTCCTTCTTCTGAGTTCTCCTCTTCACCTTCAGCGAAAGGGGAATGGGCAGGGTATTCGATTGAGGTATTGTATCGATTTTCATCACCCTTATGCACAACATATAAGTCAACCACACCTACTTGCATACCCAATCTGCCTATTTCTATCACATCTTTATCACCACTAAGCTTATGCAAGCCTGCATTTAACGACTCCCCAGGAACAAGGTAATAAATCTCCTCAATTTCATCATCAATTCCCATCTCTTTGGGCAAACTGAACAGCAACCAAAAATCCAATTTATCAGGATCTATATTCATTACGAGTGTTTCCCCCCCTACATATTGTGATGGGGTGTTTTGTTTAAATGCCCTCCATAATGATAGTTCAGGTTAAACAACTCCATTCCTGCAGATCTCTAATTGATAAAAGTCAAGTCACCTGCTTTCATCTTTTAAAAAGATCATTACTGTAACAATATAAAGGAACATTCAACTGGGATTTATGTCAATAGTGGACAGAGGATAGACAATACACTTATATATTACACAAGCAAAACAGTTGTATAAAGAAGATGAATGTCTTGGTTAAATCTCTACTTAGAATTAAATACCTATTTTATGATTTTTTGGGAATTTAAAACCCTAAGTGCTTATAATAAACACTATATTTCCACATGAGAATCTGCCAAGACGTAGCTTTAGTCATCAATTACATCAAATGCAAACACAAAGTCAATAACCAATCTTTCTCAAAATGAGAAGTCATAAACCTGAAATCGAGAAGGACATATCTTTCAAAGACTCATTCCTATCTTCCAAAGTCAACAACCAATCTTCGAAGACTGATTCCTATCTAAAAGAAAAAGAATTACATTAATAACCTGATAATCCAAAGAATCCCAAAGAGTTGTTTTTGGTATGCTACTTCTCCACCAAATACTCGACTGTCTCTTCAATTTTCTCTTCTTAATCGAGCCTGGTCGGGTAGCTCCAAGATTAGCAGCGAAGTGTGGTGATTACATGTGAAAAACCAGTTCGGTGATGAGAG